CTTCCCTGGCCCCCTGCCAGCACTGGGGCCTCCCTCCCTTCCCCTGGCCAGCCCGCCCCCTGGTCAAACTCCTGAAACAACTTCGGTCGAGGGGACAATTTGTATACTACGCTTTTATTATATAGGATGTATGAGGTCCCAACCTTCAGTCAGATGAAATGTTTTTTATGACTGTATTTTAATAGCTGAGTTTCATGGAAAAGAAAACACTTAAGGATGGTGAGGGAAATTTAAGGGACAAATGCCACCTTGAGGTAGAGAGCCAGGTTGTGCAGAAGGAAGATATATGCCACCACATAGGACCTTACTAATGCCAGAGGATATCTCTCCCATTCTCATTCTAATCTCATCACAGATCCCGTTGGCTTGCTCTTGTCACAAGTGACTCCTTACGCTGCCTTGGGAAGCTAGGGGCTGTGCCCACCACTCAGGGAGGTACATGGTTCCCCAGAGGCCATCTCTGAGTTGCCTATCCCTCAATCCCAGAACCACTGTGACTTAGGCATCAGCTGAAGGAGACAGCTCTGGATCATCTCAGCTGTCATCTTTGACCCCAGCCACTTAAAAATGATTGTTAAGATAAAGGAAGCCATCTCCAGAGTGCACCTTTGTTTTCAGGCCTCTCAGTCATTTAATATTTCTTCATATCTTGACAGTTGTGACTGTAAGTCCCACTAAGGGTTTCTGGTCTGGGCACAGATGACAAATTAATTCCCTTTGTTCTATGGTTGAGATGTTATAAGGCTAAGAGCACTTACTTTTCCTATATTTTAGGACTATTACTGAATTGGACTGTAGTCTAGAGTGCAGAGGAAAATAATGTTTCTTCCATATCAAAACTCACATATTATTGTCATGACTGAGCACTGAACACAGAAGCAGCAGCAGGAGAGAGAGGAAAAGAGAGGTGGAAGGAGAGGATGAAGGGAGGGAGGAAAGGAAGGGCAGGGCAGGTCAGGGAGGGAGGCAATAAGTTTCTTCCTCAAACTTCTACTGGCACCTTGCTCTATGGCCAGGTTGCTTTTCCCACCCATTTAATTGTACCTCCAAGTTTATTAGCTGGTTAGTTTTGAGCTGAGTAAAAGCCTTTATTGTACGTCCCTTTGGCTGATGTATGTTTATGAGGGTTTTTTATTTATATCCTCAAACTGGCAGACACTGGACTCTAGGCACTGATTTTTTTTCCCACTCACTTCTTCTAATCAGGGATATAAACTGTGAAGATTAAGTAGGCATCTATTGTTTACTGGATGTACTTACAATGTTAAAGAAGCAGAGACCAGCATGTAGCAAAAAGTCAAGAATACAAATTAAGAGGTCAATGAAACAAAATTTACCAATAATGTGGTAAATTTTATGGAATTTGAAATAGACAAGATACAAGAAGTAGTAAGGATAAGCATCAAGGAAGGGGAAATAAAGAAATAATAAATATAATCATTCACAAAATTTAAAAAGACAATATTAATGAACAACTAAACACATGTGAACTAAAAGAGAAGGCACTTTTAGAAAAGAAGGATGTCAAGCATGCAACACGCATGCTCATGTGCAGTTCACGTTTATGGATTAATGTGTTTTTGTTGTTTCTATAGCTTTGCATATCAAAGTTGCCCTGTTAATAAATATTTACCTCTAAGATAACCAAATGTTCCAGAAACTACTTGCAGTTCAGAGTTAGGAGTAGGTGAGTCTTTTACCCCATCCCACCCCCCAGAGCAGTCCAGAGGTGGGCAGCTAAGAATCAGGTGACTTCAACCCTGTCTCTGCCTCTTCACTTTGACCTTGTGTACAGAAGGGCAGCAATGAAAGAACTAGGAAAGATCACCAAGAGCACAGATGTGTCATTAACCCTTTGAGTGCCAACCAATATCCTAAGAACTATGCTAAAATTGCCAAGGCATTTTTGCTGATTTTACAGCAGTTTAGGAAAAAAATTATGAATCACAAGTAAATGAAGTTACATATTCCATATCTTCCACAAAATAGTCATCTTCACAGCAAGAATTGACATATTTAGCAATACCATCATCACTAATAAAAGCAGACTTAGAACTGGACACTGCAGGAGGAGTGCGATAGCACTCCCGGCACTTTCGGCAAAAGACAGGAGGAGCGAGATCGCGCTCCCCGGCACTCTAGGGGTTAAAGACCAAGACCATCCACACCCTCATCTTCCCAATTACTGAGTATGGATGTGAAAATCTGACAGTGAAGAAAGCTGTTGGAAAAATAGTGATTCCTTTCCAATATGTTGTTGGAGGAGAGCTTTAGGGACACCCTGGACCACCACAAGGACAAACAAGTGTGTCCTAGAGTAAATTAGTCCTGAAACATCTCTGGAGGCAAAAATGATAAAACTGAAACTGTTCTACTTCGGGCAAATCATGAGAAGGCAGAGTTCTTTAGAAAAGACATTAATGCTGGAAAAATAGAAGGCAGCAAGAAAAGAGGGAGACCAAATACGACATGGATTGACTCCATAAAAGAAGCCACAGGCATGAGTCTACAGAAGCTGAGCAGGGCTGTGAGGACAGGACACTGTGGACATCACTCATTCATAGGGTCAGCAGGAGTCACAGCCAACTCAACGGCATGTAACACACATGTCCCACAACCTTCTTTTCCAGCTTTCTCCTCCTTGATATGGGAATGATAATGTTTCCTACCTTGGGAGAAGTGTCAGCCTCATAGGACATAGTTCTACCACAGAAGCATGCATGATTGTGACCACGTTTGCTGAATGTGTGAAAGGAATATTCCCACGATCTGAGTGGCCTCAGAGCTATGTAATCTAGAGCCCAGGCCACCAAACACAAGATTCCAACCTACAATTTGGAGTGAGGGTCCCTGCACAGATTACTGTAACCTTAATTTTATAGGTGAAGTAGCTAAAGTCTAATGAAATTGAGTGGCTTGCTGAAACTGGCAGATCCAGGACAGATAGCCTAGGTTCCCCCATTATTATTTCACGTTTATCTTTTATACCAAACTCACATACCACAGCAAGGCTTCTCATGTCACAACTACTAACAGTTTGGGGCAAGTGACTTGTTTGCATTTTAACACAATCATTGGTAATCTGCACAAAGGTGGGAGGACATCTCTGTCTTCATGGTCAATTGGGGAAAACTCTTCAACTAGCCCAAGAGTGTTATCTAAAACTGAGGTCAAGCCCTAACTGGTTTGGCTCAGTGGATAGAGTATCAGCCTGTGGACTGAAAGGTCCCAGGTTCGATTCCGGTCAAGGGCATGTACCTTGGTTTTGGGCACATCCCCAGTAGGAGGTGTGCAGGAAGCAGCTGATCGATGTTTCTCTCTCATCAATGTTTCTAACTCTCTATCCCTCTCCCTTCCTCTCTGTAAAAAATCAATAAAATATATATTTTTTAAAACTGAAGTCAAATTTATTGCTTTATAGAAATTTATCAGGCTTAGTATGGTAGCAGTTTAATTACCTTAAATAGGGTAAGTTATTTCACTCATATATTTAGGAAAACATGATAACTACCATCAAATATTTGAAATGCTCTTCTATGAAAAAGAAATTAACCCTTAACAGCTACAACAGCTTCTGACCCTAGCAGATTCTTAAAATATATCCCTTGAATTAGGCTGAGTTGAATTGATCTCATTCTTAATCTCTCCAGAGGCTAAAATTAGGAACAACTGGCATGTAATATGAAATCATAATCTCATATCAAAAATATTACAAATAAAATTTCAACCATTAACACAAAATAATGGAATGGGTTGACTTGCTGGGTAGTAGGCTATTCATTTCCAGAAATATTCAGGAAGTCAAACAACAACAACAACCCTCCTTTTCATAAGTTGGGTAGGGTGGGGGCCAGAAGTGCTGGTACAGTACACTCTGTGGTAAGTATAATGAACACAATACAATCTTTATTTCTTGTGGATCTTGAAATACTCAACGTTAGGCATCAAGAATAATCATGGTCACTGTACAAATGGCCAATAATGAGATATTTTAAAGCAAATTTGTTATAGTGCTTTTCATACTATATATCTAGCACTCAATGTAAGTATAGATTCTTTTACTAAAGGGTGCACACCTCAAAATCATGGGCTATGTCCAATCCACTTGCCTATCAATATTGTCTAGCTTAAACAGTAGGTACTTCATATGCTGAATTAATATCTGAATAAGTGAATGAAAGTGTAAGATTTGGAACTGAATTCTTGGTAATTCATAATATATACTGAAATAAAATTTTAGTCTCTTAAGCCTCATGCTATGAGATTACTTTTTCTTAAGTTCCTTTTTGAGGGTACGGTGAGGACTGAAAAAGATAATGAGTAGGAACTCATACAAAGTGGTCCTGACTCAAAGTAAACACATAATGCATGCTAAACATTATTAACAATTTGCCTCTCTATGAATAAATCTTTAGAAAAGAGGAATTTTACAAAAGAATAACAGATTTCAAAAAATATCACTTTTGCCTCTCTACACTCTGATTTTGTCACAGGCTCCATCTGATGGACAAAGGAGATGCCAGGATGCAGGGGTTATACACAAAGGCTCCTTTGGTACTACCCACCACTTAGTTTTTAGAGTTTTTATGAGGCCCCAATTAAATAATCTGAGTGGAAGTGTCTGAAATTCACAAGGAGCCATATAAATATCAGGAATAAAAAAAGAAGTTGAAAACACTGTGTAGAAATATAATTTGGGATTAAGGCCCTCAGCTTGACTTGTTTTTCTGAAACATTTAGATTACATACAATGTTCTTATCAGTGTAAAGATATAAGAATAAGTCATAGCTGATGTATCAGCTTAATGTGCATATTTAATAAACTGAACAATAAAGTAAAACTGAAGCATCTAAATATCAAACAAGAAATACTGGTAGAAAAGAACCCTTTCTCAATTGGCCTAATTCAACATTAGGCATCCAGCATTCTGATTTCTACTTGTTTCAGGTAACCTTTATGATCCTAATGTAAGTGCAAGGCCCCATCTGCATGAACATACCGCATTCTGTGACTCCTCAAATGTTAACGTGGATCAGACAGATGTCCAGGCGGCATCTGCACGCACCTCAGCCTCGGCCTCCAAGGAAGCTTCCCTGCAAGAAAGGACAGAAAAAGTGGTTAGTGGACCTGAGAACATTCCTCTGACTTAATGGAAATGGACAGTTTCCCGACGTGGGAGCTCTTCTCCTTAAGCCAGTGGAGGCTGTGCACAAGGACTGCACTCACTGCACTTCAGCTGAGGAAGAGTCTGGAGCTACACATCCTGTTGTCTCCTCAGAGCTGTAGTGCTTTTGAAATAAGTCTGTTCTTTAATAAAATTACAGAGCAAGGTCAGGTGTGTGAAACTTGGGTAAGTCCCTAGGTCCCTGGCTTACAAAGACCACCAACAAAGGGATATGAGTCAGAGTGAGCTCAAATGCCCAGGACACTGCCTGCTTGTCAGGTTGTAATCACTGCTGTCAATAGAAGGTTCTGGATTACAGGCGAGCACTCCAGAATCAAACATGTCTGTGCCTGAAGAATCAAATATGGATCTCATTAGGACTGCCTACCTAAGGCTGTGTCAGTATTAAGAAAGAAAGATGGAAAGGGGAAAAAATATGTTTCTGATATTTCCTGTTTTCTAGGTTTACAGGGGAAACTGGGGTAACTGAAGAAAAGGAAAAGAATTCCTTGGAACACAAGTTCAACTTTTTCTAACCACCAACCATATTCATTCCAATTTTAGCAATTCTGTGGGAGGAAAAATGAAACATGAAATTCTATGCCTTCCACTTTGCATATATCCCTTACCTCTACCTGGAATGCCCTCTCTCTCCAGGTCTTCACAGCCTGCCCAGAGTCACACTTCCTACTGTGTATGATGATAGTGAGAAAAGAATCTTCCTATTAAGAACAGCACAAACAATAACTACCATTACTGAATGTCTAACTGAGAAGCCAGTATCTAACAGTATCTATTAGATACCTTGGGCCCAGGACCTCACTTAATCCTCAAAGATAGGAAATATAAATGTTATATCGGCTCAAGATGTGAGGTAGCTCGCTGAGACACACAGCTAGAACAAGGTTAACAGTACTCAGACCAGCTCTTTCTGACTTCAGAGTTCCTTCTATGTCTCCATTTTTCTCAGACCCTCCAACATTTAAACCTTAGTTTCTTCATTACTTTCGAAGAAAATATCTAACATTTGTGACATGCTCTGGGTCACATACAGAAATAGACTGTTTTGTAGATAGAGTCGATGACTCTTCCAGGACAATATAATCATTATTAAAATGTGGAGATCATCTTAGATCATTCAAAATCTAATCAAATATATGTACACTTTTAAAAGAAGTAATGCAGATATCAAGTTTCTGATGATTTCTAATAAATGGGGAAAATAAAACCAAGAACCCATTAGAAGATACTTCTGAGAATTTCAGGCCTTAAGAATCTTACTTATAAGAGAAAATAACAGTAAATCTAGTTTCTACTTGGGTTAGAGTTATCTTGCCTAATGTAAGTCAGAAATAAAGGTCTTAATGGTTTTAAGTGGCCCAAATGGTTGCCTGCACATGGTGACAATGGACACAGCAAACAAAGTGGCTCAGTGCTAGCTGCATACAACTATGCAAGACACCTAGAGCAGAGGTCCTCAAACTTTTTAAACAGGGGGCCAGTTCACTGTCCCTCAGACATTCCACACATGCGCACTGCGGGCCCAGGACGAGTCGGCTGCTAAGCAGGACAGGCAGCGGCGGCAAAAACACCCGGCAGGCCGGATAAATGTTTTCGGCGGGCCTCATGTGGCCCGCGGGCTGTAGTTTGAGGACCCCTGACCTAGAGCCTTACTTCTTCTCCCTCCTCTGAATGCTTATCTTCAAAATAGAGAGAGGGGTGCATAGTGAGGGCAGGGAGGGAAGGGCTAATCAGAAGAACAGACTTGGTGTCAAAAACAACTCTGCTGAGATCTATTGTCCACTTCACTTAAAAAGAGAAGTTTATGGCAAACAAATAGAAGTAATACTCATGTAATCAAGTAGAAAGGATAGTTGTGCATATAGATTTGTATGCACATGTATACATGTGTACACACTTATTTCTTCTAAAATTGCCATTCCTTTCATTTTCATCCTGGTTGTAATGCAAAGTACTAGGTTTACAACCTGTACAGATGCTCAAAAGTTAAGTGATTTAAAGAACCATTAAACTAGCAGGGGCCAGTCTCAATCTTTTTATTTTATTTTAAAACTAGAGGCCTGGTGCAAGAAATTCGTGCACAGGTAGGGTCCCTAGGCCTGGCTGGCAATCAGGGCCAATCAGGGCCTTCCAGCTGCCAGCTGGGGCCTTCCTTCGCCAGCTGCTGGCCAGGGCCTTCCTTAGCTCCGCACCACCTCCTGGTGGTCAGAGCACATCATAGCGAGCAATCAAACTCCTGGTCTCCCAGCGGGACTCCCAAGGGACACTTTGCATATTAGCCTTTTATATATATAATCTATAAGATGTAAATAATCGCATCACTGCAGATGGGGGAAAAAGTCAGAATTTCAAAATTACACAGGGTGACTATCATTTGTAAAATGAGGGTAATAGACGGTTAGACAATCTTTAAGATTTCTGACCTCTGCAATTAAGCTTTAATTATCCAGTAAATTCCGGAAGTTAGTTTTAAATTTATATAAATACTAGAGGCCTGGTGTATGAATTCGTGCATGGGTGGGGTCCGGCCGGCCCATCCCAAGAGCCAATCAGGGCCAGCTGGCCAAGGGGAGGGGCCACAGGAGGTCAGCCAGGCTGGCCCTGCCCCCGATCGGGGTGGGGGGCCGATCAGGGGCCGGATCAGCCAGGGGGAGGGCCGCAGGTTGGCCAGGCAGCCCCACCCCTCAACGAGCCAGTTGGCCAGCCACAGTGCACATCACAGCAACCAGTCATTCCAGTTGTTCCAGTCGTTCCAGTTGCTTGGCTTTTATACATATAAATTCTAGTTACTTTACAGTTATTTCATATTGTCTTTTAAATCAATAAAATCATAGTTATTTATGCATCAATATCACCACTTTTAAACAGAGGAAATGTGATAAACTTTCCATGGAAATAATAATATCAATAAAACTAAACCTTTATAAACCAACATCAACTTTGGAATTTAACACACTGGAGACTTAAGCAGAGTGATAGCAGAACTCAAGGATTGACTTTCAGAACTCTCTGGGAGAGACACAGATCACACTAAAATATTTACTTGGCCTCTTCTATAGCTGTCCCAAAACAGAAATCAGATTTCTCATTAGATACATGATGTGGTCTCATTTTAAAACTGATAGCTTCTTAAATCAAAATTAGTGAATAACAAAACTTATTTTCCCTAAGATATTTAAAAAACTTCCTATCCTTTGATATAAGCTCTAGGCTTATTCTTTTGTTATTAAGGGGGTTTCTGTGGCTCTTGACTAGAGAGGCAAGTTGAGATTCCTTATTCCCTGACGGAGCCCATGGGGATACTTGTCCAGGCAGACAGAATCCTTCACTAACAAGAGTGAGGCTGAACATCAAAAAGGGTGACTATTTGGTTCCTCAACCCTGAAGAAACCCTGGTAGATGATACTGCCTGGCTAATGAGGGCATATTCTATCTTATGCTGGTAGATTGCCTGGATCCTTTTTGCATATTAACCTAAAAGTCTGTTTCTTTATATCTTCTGTTTATTTATACACATATTTTTGAGGCTTATACTATTTCCTACCCATACTTCAAGTATCATCATGGTGTAGTTAGTTGCTCATACTCTTAATTTTAAAAAAAAAATGCACTATTTGCTTTTTTTTAGGCTAGACTAGTTTAATTTAGTGAGCTAATTTCCATAAATAATTTATGAAAAAGTTGGACTATGAGAGGTAAATACAAAATATCTTCAAATATATGAACATAGGACTGAAAATCCTCTGCAAATGGAGTGTGCAGATGACTGACATTTTAAAGCATTTGGTATCTGAGAAATTATGTGACTTTCTTAAGCATTGTCTGAGATGAAAAATGAGATTTATATGTAGATCCAATTAATTGCCCACAGAGTCAGCAATCCCCAAGCCCCAAGCTCACCTGCATCATGTCATAAACACAGCCTCACTCTAACCCCAGTGCCAACAGGATCCCAGGAGGTAGGTCCCAGGAGGTGGAGGAAAGAAGGGATGGTGTGCAGTGAAAGGAAATTTGCTCCCTGGGGAAGACCTCCCCAAGTCAGGTTTAGGATCTCCAATGGGAGTCTGGGTATTTTTGTTCTGACAAAGCCTTGGCAACCCATCATCACAATCACTCATGAGTATCATGATGTAAGCCACCCAATTGCAAATTACAGTACACAGGCAAAAAGGCTCCTCTACTCACTCTGGAATCCCTTTCTTGGGCTCATTTCCTCAATAGTAAAAGAATAACCTTTGAAAACTTATCATCAAATCATGTTCTCTACCTCTAAGTGCCCCCAGCTCACATCCAACCCCGAACTGAACAAATGTTCATGTGCCCAGGAGGCAAGCAGGGGCAGGACTGAGCTGGACAGGTCTGGAGCCCTGGCTTCTGCTTTCATTTTTTATCTGCTTTCATTTTTAAAAAAAGAGTTGCTATGAGCAGGCTGGAAGAGGTCAATAGGGGGGGAAAGGGAGACTTATGTAATACTTTCAACAATAAAGATTAAAAAGAAAAGTTGCTATGCCCTGACAGAGAGGGAGGAAAACAGGGTAGTTCTCAACCCTGGACGCATATTAGAAACCCTGGGGAGCTTTTAAAACATACTGAGGTCCACCTGCAGATACTGGGATTTAATTGGCCGGAAGTAAAGCCCAGGCAGGCATCAGTATTTCTTCTTTTATAAATTAAATTTATTGGGATAACATTGGTTGAAGACATTATATAAATTTCAGGTGTACAACTTTATATAATACAAAATCTGTATACTCTATTGTGTGCTCATCACCCAAAGTCTAGTCTCATTCCATCACCATATATTTGACCCCTTTTTACCTTCTTCTTTAAAAACTCCCCAGGTGATCCTAACATGCAGGAAGGCTTAGAACCACTGACTCAAAAGAAAAGCTCAAAATTTAGCTAAAG